TCAAGAAATGTGAAATATTAAGATCTTCACTTTCAAATGAAGGTATCTGATTTACTCAAAGCCCAGCTCAGGGTTTAGAAAAATTAATTAAGATGGAAGGAATGATACCACTTTAGGCAAGAACTGCAAAGTAGGACTATTTTGTCTTTGAATTACTGGCAATCAGTCAGGTACAATGGAGCTGATGTTGCATTAATGAGAAATACACACTTCAAAGTTAATAGACATACAGAGAACTGCACCGAATAGACTGGGAGTAATGAGGGAACAAAGTGCTAGATGAAGAACTCATGGCAGAACTGGTCCATGTTCAAGGAATGCAGAGTAGGGCACTAGGATAATTGTATTCGGACTTTGCTCACAGACCAAATATTAAGGAATTTAATCAGGGTAAGAAAGGTCTTTTTTTCAAAGCATCCGCATATCTAAAATCTTCCCTGGGAATCCAGCAATTCAGAGAAGGGATAATTTTCTTAAAATTCCAGCAAATACCTGTCTCAATTTAATTCAGTCTGTACACCCTTTCACAGCTAATTGACAAGATGCAGTCACTAAAATAAGAAACTTTGTTCAAGTAATAAGCTGACTTGGAAAGCAAAGCAGAGGTAGACCTGCCAGCTCACAGGTCAGATAACTAGCGCTGTGTTCGCACTGTTAAGCTAATTCCTTCTCAATAACAATAACAATAACAGAGCAATGTTAGAGCAGAAAGCCTAGTTTATTCTTCTTGTTCCACATCAATTGTGCCATAGACATGAACAGAGCACCAAAATAATATTCTCCTGCCAAAATCAGAAAACAAGAAATGTTTGGCTCCAATTCAAATGAATATCACGTCCCATAGAGAAACTTGATGGTATTTTTAGAAACCAGTGGGTCCTAGTGGTGATTCCCATATTTCATGGAAGCAAGCAAAGATATTCAGAGAATTCTCCAGAAAATTGTGATCAAATTGGAATTTCTCTCTCTAAATTACTGGAAAGGATGTGGAAGACTTGACAATTCCTGCTGCATTGACTTTGAATAACTTGACTGACTCCAACCATCTTTAGTTCTCATTGGAGGGTCACTAACTGAAACATCTGTTCATGAACATGGTGCCGGGAGTGGGTTTAAGATTACTGAAAGTCAAGCTAGTGAGACAAACTGAGAAGTTTGCTCCTCTGCACTATAAGGCCCGTGCAAAAACAAGGTTCCAAAGATGGTGGAAAGCAAAATCAAAGAAAGGCAGAAATCTCTGTCCTCATATATTATTGGGAATTATAAGTCTGTGCAAGCAGATCCCAGAAGTTCAGATGTAGTTAGTGGTATAGATTTAGTATATGGCAGTGCTCAATCCTATGGAAGGCACAACAGAGGACCATCTTTATCTTCTCTGCAGAGTCAAGAGGATCCAGTGTCTAAAATAACAGCGATCAGCCTAAAGGGTTATCACACCCATGTCTCCCAAGTCTGTAAATATACAGGCTATGTTTCTATTATACTGACAAACTATAGATCTTAGCAACAACCTGGGTGGGTAGAAGAATGCTCAACCTTCCATTTGCTTGATGCTACTTTAAGTTGAGTATCATACTGTCGGAAACAGCCCTATGGTCTTGGTAAACTCATTATCCAACATTGTCAATCTTCTCTTCAAAACCACAAAGAATTCAATTGGAAAGAATGTGTTAATCCTAGAGTTCTCATTATGAACCGGGTTGTTGTTCCTAAAATAGTCAGGAGGCTTTGGGACTAAAGTAGATGGGAAGTTCTCGAGTTGAAATAAGATTGTCATGACAAAGATTCTGAGAGTGACTTAGAAACTGATTTGTAATCATTTGCCTCCTGGGCCTAAGGTTAAGTGGAGGGTGGGTCAAACATAAAAGGGAGACTGAGTGACTCTGCTGTGAAAGCTTAATCTCTCCATCTTTATAGTCCATCCCAATTGTTGAAAGTGCAAGCGAGAAAGGTAGGATTTCTGGCCTCGTTTGCAATGCACTGTGGGAAAATATTATGCCTAAACTGTGTAATGCCCAACATTTGTCTCTGAGGGTTTATACTGCCAGTCTTTATTGCACAAAGGATAAATAACCAAGCAAGAAAAGGAACCACTGCTTCGGTTGGAGATATCACATTAATGCCAATAAGGAACAGACCATGGAATGCATCCATTGGACATTAATGACCACTCTTGCTCTGAAGTTACTAATGGCAGGTCACGGCTAACAACCACCCAAGGTAAGGGATGATGTTGAACACTCAGTTCCGAGAAGGCCCTGTTCAACTTAAAGACACCTCACCTGTTTGAAGTTCCTCCGCAGTGTCAATTCTGGGCTGAGCTTGGTCCATGGGGCTGGCAGGGGACTTGCTTCGATCACCTCCAGAGTTTTCCCACAGCAGAGTCAAAAGACATAAATTACTCAGTGTTATTTTGTGATGAGGTCTCTAACTTACTGTCACATGACCAACTCTGAATGCCCTACCTGATTAGGGATGAGCGCCGCTCTGTACTGAAAATCTGAAATGATCCACATTTACCTAAGCTGAATAATTTTAATTTATCATGGGTCTTGCCTTAAAGCGATTGTCTACAAACACAGCCTAACTATTTTAATTTATTCCAATAATTTATTTCCCAGCATTTTCCCAAGATCATAGAATCATATAGCACAGAAGGAGGCCATTCGGTCCATCATGCCTGTGCAGAATGAGCTATCCAAATTAATCCCACTCCCCGCCCTCTCCCCATAGCCTTCCAAATTTGTTTTCCCCAAATATCTGTCCAAATCCAAGATTGAGGGCTAATGCTGGTTGCTGGGAACACAAGGAAGAAGGTAGATCTGCTTCTACCTACAAAATACACAGGCACGACATTTTAAAGTAAATCCTGCAAAGTGCTTTGAGATGTCCTCCTGATGTGAAAGGCTGAAAGCTATTATATCAAATGCAAGCATGATCATTTCATGGGGGAGGGGAAGAAAAGGGAAAGTTTCTTCTGATAATCCTAGTGCCAACTGTACTTTTTTACATTAGAAAACTAGTAGTTAGGAATATGTGGTGTACCAACAAAATCAATGTCATTTGGACTTTGCAAAGATGCACATTTTGCCAATTTCAAAGCCAAATAAAAACACAAACGCTAACAATAAGCACTCACCTCTAAACAACATAGAATACTGATGTTTTGGGGAAAAAATGAAAGACATGGGCAATGAAGACCCCTGAAACAAAGGCGAGGTAAAGAGATATCCGAATACTGCATCTAATATCAGGTATATATGCTGTTGATGGCTCCAAATATCATGCCAGTCATCTTGAAAAGGATTAAAAAGATTTAACGTATATTATCTTTGATCAAAAGATGCAGTAATATGTTGTTTGATGAATACTGGAGGGCACGGCCAATGCAAAGCATTTTTCCTGGTGTATTTCTTCAATGATACTAAGGCAAATTTCTAACAAGATAAAGATGGACTGGTCAATCTGGATTGAGATTAGTTTTTGTAGGTACCATTTTGGTCTGTATCATTCACTCCCTGTAGATCAAATGTATTTTGGCATCAATGCTCCATATATATGATCAGATATTGTGATAAGAAAAGATCAGACAAGAAACAGATCCTTCCTTAACTCACAAAAACTTTTAACCACAAAGAGTCAAATACTTCAAATTTGTTGCAATGATTTAAAAAACGGGTGAACTTATACAAATATCTTCATTCATTTGAATTTTCAGTAATTATGACATTCCCTTTATTTATTTTTGCCCCAGTGAGGCTACTCATCAAACTTGGATAAGTTTATTTTAATGACGACAAGATAGGAGTTGTCTACCTTATTCCATGTCCCAAAATTAAGACACCAACACACGTGCATTAAGTCAATCACTGCCTGCACAAACACAATTCTTTTACTAAGAATCAAATGTTATCAACTGAGAAATGCCAAAAGAAATACAAAATAGATTTCTACTAATCTTGACATGAAAATTCAAAATTATTAAATGATAGGCTAACAGTAATAATAATTATAACATGACACATTTCTAACTGGAAGAAGCTGGACTGGTCAGTCAGTATTGAGATGAGTTTTTATGGGTACCATTTCTGTCTGTATCTTTCACTAATTTTCATTAGTTTCTCAAACCTGTGATTATAGACCAAATAGTAACAACTCAGTGAGAAATTCTTTCAAGCTTCACTTTATTTTTTCTATTTAATTTATTTATAATAACAATCTTAGCTGTTTTGTTGCACTCGGTATTAAAGAATGAAAGTTGTGATTGTAGGCCATGCAGGAGTAATGTAGAAATGTTTAATGACAAAAGCTGAAAAATCCAATGCAACAAAATGATTCGATAGTGTTCATTTTTTACAGTCAGGTACTCTTTTGATATTGTAATCATTTTTTATTTTATCAGTGTCTGAAGGTTCACTCGAGTTTCATAACTTTGTGTTAGGCAAGGGTCATCTCTTTCCTCTCTTTTGAAGACTATCATTTGCTTTTTTTTAGAATCAACATCATGAGGGATACTTGACCTTGTTGCAAATTTCACAGCACCCAATACAACCAAATGAGCACTTTAAATAAGCAGTCAATAACTAAACAGATAAGGCCACTGAAGAATCGTGATACTAGCTATCTAAATGAAGATGATTACGAATAACAGACTGTGCAATTACAGAGCCAATTCATTAAAAATACTGTGTTCTTCATCCTGCATAACAAGACCAGATACTTCACAAATACTACTTGTTGGCAATTATCCATGCTACCTGCTGACTGCTTGAAGGATACAGGAAGAAATGATTGAAACTGGTGTAAATGATTCCTTCCCTTACCCCTCCCGCTCATTGTAGGTATCACAGCTACAAAGAGTGAGTTACGCAAAAGTCAATTCCTGAAAGTATCCCTCTACTACAAGTCTGTAGACCATAAAAACACACAAAAATAAAAAGGTACCAATGGGAGCATGCACATGTACACAACTGAAAAATAAAGCAACTGACTGGACCTACCTTTTGGATGCCAAGGGTCTGTAAATTCGTACTTTCCCATCCCAATAGTCCGTAACATCTGCACACCATTTGTGTTCTCCTGAAGGAGAGGCGGATTTAAAGGAGTATGGGAAGCCCCTTGCCCATTGACTACTTGAGCATTACCAGGAAGAGTTGCCGAAGGTAGAGCAGATGGATGCAGAATAGGGCAAGTCAAGTGACCATTCCCCATTGCGCTATGGGCAGGTTGAGTCACCTGACACACCGGAGTCAGAGGCGACATGGTAACTGGCTGACTAGTTGTGTACAAAGGCTGACTCTGCAGATTCACAACCATATTGGTTAAAGGCTGTGGAGGCTGCTGTACTTGATAATGTGCTGTCATAAGTGGGAGCTGAGGGGGAACTGGAGGTGGCATTGTGGGTGTAACTCCGATCACTGGAGCCTGCACATTGACTGCCTGGCTGAAGGCTGGTGGCTGTGGCATCCCGAAGGTGGGAGGGATCAGAGCTGGCTGGCTGATCGCTGCAACTGGAGGCACCCATGAGGGTGTACCTGAAAATTCAAAAAAAAATCATAAAATCATCAAGTTTCCCCAATCTTCATACAATTCCTGTCTAATAATCCTTGCATTTGATATAGCGCCTTTCACATAAAAATGTCTCAAAGCATTTCACAGGACTTACTGTAGAGTGTAGTGATTATGTATTTTGGAAATGAATTTGCTCACAACAATATCTCAGAAATAGCCATAAAGTGAATGATCAATTTTATTTTGATGATTGTTTGCCAGGACACCAAGAGAAACTCCCTTCTATTTTTTGAGTAGTGCCATTGGATCAGTTGAGGTTGACCCCAAACATAGGAAATTAGATACTATTCAACAACTGTTATTGGTGTTTAAATGCAGATTAAATAATGTTTCAAAAAGTATGAAGAACTTACAATTAATACTCAATTTTGTATAAAAATAATACAAAATTTAGTTTTAATCTGCAGAGATAATGGCAACAAGAAGATTTATTCATGAAAACTTCTGTTGATGTATTTCTTTATTGAGGTATTGGCTGTAAAAAACACATAGATTTCTCTTGGAACAAAACAGAAGTCGCTAGGAACACTCAGCAGGTCAGGCTGCATCTATGGAGAAATGAAAGTGAGTCAACTTTTCGGGTCCATGACTCTTTGTTTCGGGTCATGGACCCGAAACGTTGACTCACTTTCCTTTCTCCATAGATGCTGCCTGACCTGCTGAATGTTCCCAGCGGCTTCTGTGTTTGTTTCAGATATCCGGCATCTGCAGTATTTTGTGTTTTGTTTTAGATTTCCCTTGGAACTGTTGCCAGATAGACCTACCCAACTCATCAGGAACATGTTTGTAGCACATCAATGCTTCACTCTCAGTGTTTCATTAATAAAAGTCACTTGGCAGCCAAACTGAATAGCTTTTTTGACAAAGACGGTAATTCACTTGTGTATTTTAAAATGTTTTCTTTGCACGATATGTTTTAATCATGGCTGTTTGTGTCACATTTCTTTGAGCAAATTGGCTGCATAGTTTCATCCACAAAATACTCAGTCATTACACTTCACAGTATATCCTGGGAGCCCTTTGAGACAGCTTGATGATGTGATAAGGTGTCATATGAAATGCAAGGATTATTATTAGTAGTAGTGTTATATTTAAGAAGCTCCACCTTCCATTTCTACACAATTCATGCAAACAGTATCAATGTAATTAATTAATTTGATGGTCCCCACTATAACAGGTTTCATTTTATTAAGGAAGTAAAAGCGTAACTTGTATAAATGCTTTCTTTTTCTTAACTCAAAGTTGGGACATTGATTGCAGTGTCCACATTTTCCAGTGTATCTTGTAAAGCAATTTGAGATATCCTCCTGACCTGAAAGTCACTATGCCAAATGTAAAGATTCTTATTATATTAAATATTAGCATTATTATTATTTTTTAAGATGTGCTGAAAGGAAAGTTCTTTGTAGAACAAAAATATATGAAGAAACAAATGTGCATTAATACTCAATTTTGCATAGATATGTGTATTTGTATTTGGAGCATGGGCAAAACAAAATTGCAGATGTCTGGAAACCTGAAACTAAAAACCTGTGATATTGGAAATTCACTAGATATCAATCAGTATCTGAAAAAGAAAGATTGGTTAATGTTTCAGACTTGATTCTGCAGAAACCTCCTACCTGAATCACCAACTTACCTATCTCTTTCAAAAACTAATTCAAATCACTTTCCGGAGATAATAATCCTTTTTAAAAAAAAATTGATCACTCAATCCACAGCTGTTTGTGGGACACTGCTGCGTGCAATTGGCTGCTGTGTTTCGTCCACAAAATATAGTCAATTCACTTTACAGTATATTCTATGAAGCGCTTTCAGCTGTCTTGAAGATATGATAAAGCGCTATATCAAAAGGATTATTATTATTATTGACTGTGGATTTCCATTAGTTTTTATTTTCTGTTTGTGCAAGTTTATGGAGGATGGAGAGAGACAGCTTCAAATAGGATTATTTAGGAATATTATTGCAGGTGCAGAGTACAGGAAATTTTAAAATGTCTTTCACTTGAATATCATATGTTAATTTACCTTGTGTCAAAATTCTGTATGGCACAGTTTTTATTTCCTGTAAGTTCCTGGAGCTAAATCTTAAATAAGGTAAACATACGTTATTTTACAACAGAATTTCATATCAGCAAGTAAGAATGGCAATTGAGTACATGAAGGAGAAAAAAACCTCAGGCCATTCTGAAAATGTATCAAATCACTCTGCTTTGTAAGTCTGAAGTAAAAATCTTAAAAAATGGCAAATAAAAAAAAGCACACTCCTAGTTTGGGTTTTGTAATAAATTGTTGAAGTGAAATTTGTTACAAAGTGATATTCACACCGAGTCCTGTGTTAATAATTTCTATAAGCTTTGACCCTGCCCCCATGATCTTCAATGTTGCAATTTTTGCAATTTTGAAATTGGTTTGCTTGCTGGCATTACTTTGCTGTTTTTTAATTTATTTCAGTTATAGAAAGGTTTCGTAAGTACTTGGCCACATTGATATAAGAGGGTCAAAGGATAATGTTTTCATTAAAGTGAATAAACCTATTTTGTATTTATGTTACAAAGCCTAATTTAAAAAATACTGGTCCAACCATAAGATTGACAGGTAGTTTCAAACTGTTGATGAAAGAAGTTCACACTTCAGTTATTCTGGCTTTAAATAAGATTATTTATCATGGAGCTTCAATACACAGTGGAAATACATGTTAGCCTTTACATAAATAAAATGTAAACCAACCAGTTACATTTATACAATCTTTGATACAAAAAAAACTTTACAGAAAATCCTGTGCTTTGAGACGTCCTGCTGATATGATAAATACTATTACCAAATGCAAAGGGGTTATTTATTATCTGCAGTAAATCCTGAAGAGAGCTTCAAGACATTTTGACGATGTGTTAAGGTGCAATATTAAATACAAGGCTTATTAGTGTACTTACAAACAATAATGAAAATGAGTTACTAAATGATAATTATTATCAATTTATTTGAGAAGATAATATAAGCCAAAGTAACAAAAAAAAATTTTTTTTAGAAACAATAGGGGAAGGAGATTAGCATGCGCTGGCCACAACCATCTATGTTCAACTGTACGGTTGATTTCAAGAATTTCAATTAGCCTCAAGGGAGTTATCCATCATTGCTATAATCCAATATCACCCAGAATGTCCATACCCAGACACATTCTGATTGAACTGTAATTGAGAGGCACCTTTTAGTATGTAAATGTAGACCAGAGGCAGGCACACCTCTACAGACAGAACATCCTATAATTTTACAATCCTGCAAGCTGAAGCCCGCATGGCTAGGGTGGCCACTACTTTCAAATCATTCAACCCCATTAGTCAAAGCCAGTGTTCATGATCTCTTGCCAACCTTGGCTCTTCCCAACCTGTGCCTAATACTCTCTAAATTTAGGGAAACAGGATATGTCCCTTCAGGGAGAATATGCACATTCCATTCCAATAAATATCTCCGAATTTCCAGCTGACACTCCAATATACTGCTGGGGTGTGTTGCATTATTGGAGTTGTTAAACCAAGGTCCCGTCTGCCTGTTCTGGTGGACGTTATTTGATTTGATTTGATTTGGTGGACTATTTGAAAAGAGAAGGGAGTTTCTCTCTCCTGGTGCCCTGGCCAACAAATCCCCCAAATAAAATAAAATTGGTCACTCACTCCATGGCTTTTGTGGGACATTGCTGGGCACAACTGGCTGCTGAGCTTTGTCCACAAAATACACAGTCAATCCACTTTGCAGCATATTCTGTGATGCGCTCTGTGATGTCTCAACAATGTGGTAATGTGCTATATCAAATGCAAGTATTATTAGTATTAAGTATCGGTAAGATGCATGAAACTCAGTTTGGTTTGGAATATTCTTAAGCATGGAATAGGTTTTCGAATGTATCAGGCACCCGGCTGACCAAGAAGAAAAATGCCCCTCTCTTCATACTCTCTCATTTATGTACAGTGATGGAGTGTGAAACCTTCAGCATTGCTGTTGTTTTTCCGATCACGGAGGGTGACATTTCGGTTCCACTTCAAGGCGTAGTACTTTTCACCCTATTCTAATTTGTAAAATCTACAAATTCATACACTTTTGTATAATAAAAAATAGGGTTCAGGTGCTGATTAAATCCGAAGCCTTTTGAAATGTAAGCACATAAAATGCTGACTTTTCAACCGTGAACATTTTTTGAAGCTACTACATTTGTAAATTCACACTATTTACCATTAACAGGCAAGGGTGCTGATTATACCCTGCTCACAATGGAACACTAAATCATTGCAGCTTCAAGTAGATCAGTTCAGGACATTGCAAGGTCAAACAATATGCTCCATCGTTGCTTTGTCATCTCTAACAGGGAGCTTCACTGCACAATGCAAGTAGATCCTGGTCCTGCAATAATTGGAATCCTATATAACCCAGACTTTGCAAAAACTCTGTGAAGTTCCGTTCCAATGCATTTGACCACAACCATCTATTTTTAACAGTGTGGTTGATTTTGAGAATATCAATTAGGCTTTAGGGAGTTATCCATCATTATTATAATGCATTGCTCACCACAGACACATCCTGCTTGAATCGGAACTGAGCTGCCTCTTTGGGTAGGAAACGCATAATAAAAATGTACGAATAAAAATCAAAACAGCTGCTTGAAACAGTATTTTTACATTACACCTGTTAGTATTCTTCCTTACAATTTCATTTATTCTAATGATTTGCACAATCCCAATAAACCCAATAAGTTTATGCAAAATAAAATCTGAATCAGGAAAGTGCCAGAGACTAAAATACATCAATTTATGAATTCTATTACGTTTACAAAAGTAAGGAAAACCTTTTAGGTAACAATTTACAAAGGCTATTGATTTTCCATAGATACTATTTTTGTTTGATATTTATCCAGTGGATGAATTCTACTATACAAATTTGTTCAAGAAAATATACACAAATATTCACAAGA